AAATTAAAATGTCTAAGAAGCACTTGATTATCAAGGATAACATACTGTTCAATTTTTGTGAAAGATGGTAGCCAGCTGAGTTTCGTTGTTGTTACTATTACCACGTACTAATCTCTTTTGGACTATTAGTTGATTAGATATTGATTCTTGTTCAATTTGGACAAAAATGCATCCGTTTTTCTTCGAATAGAAAATCAAAATCAAATTATCTGTCATGTTGTAATTAATGAAATCTTGACAGTTTGAACATCCGTATAAAAATCATGAGAAAGTGTGTAAAAAAAAAAAGAAGAAAAGACACTTGACTGTTTTATGCAAATGAACATTCATCCGCTTAACAAATTTTTTTTTTCTGTTATCAATAACATTGCTTCGATTTAGTCAAAAATTGAGTCAAATTTAGATGATATGAGGAAACTTATCTTGCATTTTACGTGCTTACATGATGAAATTCAATACATATCGTTCTTTACATAGATAAGAAATTTATTATCCGGTCAATATTATTATAAAAAACGATGTATATGTATATCACCCATTAGTGAATGTAAACAACATTTTGTTTAAGTCTCGACACCTTTTTCAGTGTTTAGAGATTATCTATTAGCAATTCAAATATCCGGTGAAAAAATAAAAAATCTATCCATATTGACTAAGGTTTGATATAATCAAAAGTATTGCACCACATTATGTTAGTAAGAATATTGTTGATTCTACGTCTGTCATTTAAGTCAACATAAAACTCATTTACTACTCAACGATGTATCACGAGAAATTCTTGATAAGTGATTCATCACTTTTTTTACTTTATTAAAGATAATTTTTTATACTAGTCACGAATCTGATCCATTCGTTTAATTCTGTTTGGATAAATCTATAGAAACCGAATCGTTTAAGAAAAATAATGAACTTTCAATTGGATATATGCTGATATTGTCAAATTGTAGACTTAAAACGTGTAGAAAAGTTTTTGTAGTTAAATTGTTACTGCAATAGAAGCTGAGATTTCTTATTAAATTAAGACGTGAAAGTTTTATAACTCTTTGGTAATTCCAAAAACTTTTCTACATGTTTTTCGTGTATGTGCTCTACAATCTGACAATATCAGCATATATCCGATTGAAAGTTCATTATTTTTCTTAAACGATTTAGTTTCTATAGACTTATCCAAGCAGAGTCAAACGAATGGATCAGATTCGTGACTAACATTAAAAATTATCTTTAATAAAGTCGATTCCAAACAAAAAGCGATGAATTACTGAGCAGGATTTCCTTGTCAGTTCAAACGAGAGAATTGTTTTATAACCAGGGACATTTTCCTGCAATAGTTTATAGATCATCTGTTCCATTGATGAATTTCTACTGGTTTTTAATGTTACGCACGAGAAAATCTTTTCAAATGATAATTCATTTTTCTAATAGAACATAATTTTTTATAGGTAATTTTTGACAAAGATCATAAACTTAATATTTGTTACAGATTCTAGTTTTTTTTTCGCAGCTTCTTGTAGAACTAGGACCTTAAAAAACGTTTATGAGCTTTCAAAGTAAACTTATATGAGAGTACCAATTTGTAGAGAATAACAAGCTACAGCGTAATAAGAATTGTCATATCATTTCAAGATTTCAGGTTAATAATACTAATTTTATAATTGTATAACAACATGTTGGTAAGTTCTAATAATATATGCACATTCTACATATTGTTATTCTCGTGTTCAACTGTTTTACAAATCTTAGTTTTACATGAATATAAAAGAAAATTCTAACAGTCAAAACAAATATCTAAAATGACTTATAAAAAAAAAAAGTACAATTCATCAAAAAATGATATTTATTACTTGTAAATGTCCCGTCATATCGCATAATCTTTGAGTACATATTGTTTCTAAAAGCGATAGTTAAACTAAATTTCACTTTTTCGTCATCAACACATTTCTAATTGATCGAGTTCTCTTTTATGTTTCAAATAAAGATCTAAATTAATTGAAACACCCTTTGCTCTCTTCCTCCTTCTAATTGAAGATTTCCTCTTTCATTGACGACTGATTTATTCAACATACAAGTAGTATGTTTAATCGTCGCAGAATTCTCTCTGTTATTCTCGATCCATATTTCACTCACCCATATTTTCTTAAGAAATAAAAAAGACATGAAGGAGTGAGAAACATCCATTTGACAGGTTCAATGAGCTTCTTCTTCTTCTTCTCTCGACATCCGCTTCCAACTCATTTAATTCATTGTATTTGTTCATTAGATCAAATCGTTTAAAGCGAATGTACGTCGAAGTCTCTAATAAGCAATTATCGTTATTAAAAATATAACGAAAATACTGTTTTTTAACGAGAAAGAAAGAAAGATAAGGTGAGCTCCCTTAGGAGAAGGAGAAATTCAGCACAATACAGAACGAGAAAAAAATAACTTTTTTATTTAGGTTCGATTATGATGGAAGAGAAATCCATTAGTGATACTTTGCAAATTGAAAAAAAAATAATCGAAAAATCCAACTTTTTTTTCCTTATTAGAATAGAGTATTAGTTTTCGTTAAGTACTGATGTTGTTTCTATTTCAAGCATTTTTGTCCTATAAATTATTTTTATGGAGTTAAAATCTCTTTTATTAGTATAAATTCATTCCTTCATATATAATTCATCTAAAATAAGTACATCTTAGACATGTTGTAATCGTTTTTCAATTATTTAGTTGAAATAAAAAATTTCCTCATTTTTCTTCTTCTTCTTCTTCTTCTTTCTATAAATACGTTTTCAATTATTATTTTTAATTTCTACTTATCCTATTGTTTCATATGATGATAATAAGTGTAAACGAACACACCGAGTGGTTTTAAAATAAGTCGGCAAATCAGTGAAACACTCCACGGGAGCGAACATATTTAGGAGTTTGACCAATACATGTTCCATTAAACGAGTGATCATAGTGAGTTAATAAAAAAGAAAAAGTAAATTACAAATAGGTGATCTGTTTGTAGACTAGACGATACCGACTATCTAAAAACTACACATCGGTCAATAATTTCATCTTTTAATTTTTCAATCTTTAAAATTTTGTTAAATTTGTATCATGTGTTTGCCAAAATGAAGTTTCCTTCTTTTTCATTTCCTTTGTTTTACCTGAATGAATTCTAAAATTGAACGATATGATAACATTCTTTTCTCTCTCTCTCTTTCTGTATCTCTCTTTCTGACCATAAATTACATTATCCATGATAAACACACAGTTGACAATGGAATTGAGCACACAGTTATCGAGAAGGGTCATGGTTATAATCATTATCTCATTTCTTTCTTTCTTTATACTACTGTCAAATCGATTATACGAGCAATATTTGACATGGTCGAATCAATCAAATATATTTACAATCATCATAAGTGCGTGTGTGAGACAAACGAGCATGCATTATAATGTTAAATTGACAAAAAACCTCTAAAACTCCCAATGATGAATAAATGTAATGCTGAGTAATAAATACGTTAATGATATCACGTAAAAATCCCGCATGAACAAATTTTTTCTATTTGAAAATGAAATAAATAGTATTTTTATTTCCGTTGTTTCTTACTATTAGTTTTTTGTAGCACGCACTTCTACTGATATACAGATGTACATTATTTCAGAAAAATATTTCTACTTATGTGTAGTTTAACGTTCAAATTTTATATAGTCAGCTAGTGTCCAATTTATATTATTTTACATTTAAATTGAGTAACTAAATATTACAAAATCCTTTCTCTCTTTCTCATTGTAAATTTATCCATAGTTTATGTGTGGTGCGGATAATATCCACAGTTAATATCTTAATCCTTAGTCAACTATTAGAGGCTTATAACAACATTATAATAAAAGTAAAATATTATCTTAAATACCTTATTACACACATATATTGATAGCTGATGGACATTTTTTTTCTCTTTTCTCTCTTTGATAGTCATCATGCAGTATACGGTGAACTAATACAAACATGCATCATCATAAATGATATTTAAAATATTATCGTGATAGACTAGATGGATGATATCTTATCAGAGGGTTCAGTTTACTGCAAAAAACTTTATGTGTGTGATTTTGACTCTTTAAAAAAAGAAAAACAGTCCTGTTCCCATTGATTAAAGTTAAAATTGATCGTCAAAAATGCTAATCTTTATATCACGAGCAAAAGTTTGATACATACGCTCTGTTTCTCTACCAAAATCCATTGTAAATCATCTATAATCAATCACTTTTTATATGTCTCTATCGTTCATTTCAAGTGTGACTAAATTTTACCTAATGAAAACATATAACATTTCTGTGGCTTTGTAACGTAACTTTGGCTGTTATTGTTTAAAAGGAATATTTTAATTATTTTATTTTGGAAAATGGAACACACACACACACATAAAATGAGAATTTTTTACAGGACGATGAAATAAGAGAGAAAAAAACCAAGAAAAGAGTGGGCCTTCACTGTATCTAAAGAGTCAAAGTAAATAAATTCAAAATGAAGAAAAAGAAAAACAAAATTAAAAATAAAAAGTTTTAGAATATATCGGAACAGCTCTAACCATTTATTCACAATATTATCAGAGATTCTTATTTTCTGATACCTTCTTTAATCGTCTTTATATTGGAATAGAATAAAAAAACAAAATCAAGAATAGTGGAGAATATTGCACAAGTCAAAAAAATGGTTGCTGACACTCACTAATCGGGCAAGAGATACATATAGAACTATTGGCATAAAACACGAGTCGAGATATGCCTTGTTGAATGAAACAAATTTAGAATAATTTGACCAATTTTTTACTTCCCCATAACAAAAGGAAAGGATGTTGCACATAGAGAGATAATACAAAAATACATCGATAGAAACAGATAGAGAGAGAAATATAGGCTGCTCTATTATGATGAACATGACCAAAAATATTAATTAAGAATAATATAATAATAATAATAATTAGAGAAAGAAAAAGAAAAACAACATGTACACACACATACACACACTACATGTGTTGTAAATTAGGATCGGTTGGCGATGAAACATTATGATGTTGTTGATATTGTTGTTGTATTGGATCTTGTTGATAAAACATCATCGAAATACCATCATTGGATAATGGTCGCCTTTGTGGTGATGTTGATTCCGATTTAATCGCATGTGACATATAAGCTGCGCCATGTGGTCCATATGGATAACCATTCATGACAGCAGCTGCATACTGTGATGTTGGTGAAGTACTTTGAGGTGGTGGTAAATGAGGACTGGTTGATGGTGCACTGTGATGATAACTATACATTTGAGGATATTGTGTATACATTGCATGTTGATCAATCATTGATCCGTAATTACAATCATACGGATTTACATACATTTGTGCACGTTGTGCTGATAATTGAGCCGAAGCTAATTGAGCGGCTGCTGCTGCTGAACTTGCTGAATTTCCATGATGTACGGGATATTTTTCTTTTTTTAACATATTTTTCGTTTTACGTCTTGGACGATACTTATAATCAGGATGTTCTTTCATATGTATTGCTCTTAAACGTTTTGCTTCATCAATAAATGGTCTTTTATCTTCTTCATTGAGTCCTTTCCATTCAGTTCCCAAACATTTTGATATGGCTGAATTATGCATTTTTGGATTTTCTTGTGCCATTTTTCGTCGTTGACCTCTTGACCATACCATAAACGCATTCATTGGTCGTTTAACACGATCATCTGTCTGTTTTCCATTAGCACTACCGCCTGGTTTACTTCCTTGAGAACCGGGTGATGATAAATGGTCTCTGGAATTTTGATCATTCTCATCTTTATCGCCACCTGATGACGATAATGTACTCGAGTTTGAATTTGGTCCGAGCGATGAATTATTATTATTGTTCGAATTCGAATTACAATTATTGTTTTGTTGCGACGATAAATGATGAAGATGATGTGACATAGAGTTTGATGATGGACTATTCCAACTAGGTGGAATGTTTAATTGTAGATGAGGTGGACCATTTGATGACAAATGATGTGGTGATTGAGGACTCATATTATAATGTTGAAAATGAGGATGATGATGATGGCCGGGTACTAACAACGGATTAGTTGATTTAGATAATAGCATATGAGTGGCCATTGGCGATATATTACTACTGTCCATATTGTACAATGAAACCATTTCTAGCTAAAATAGAGAGTAAAATGATACTATTGAATATACAAAATAGATTATCAGAAGAAGAAAAAAATAGAAATACGAAAATAGCTGAAATTTTTATCATATTTTTTTAACAAGTACATTGTACTAATAAGATGATGATTAATCAACGCAAACTTGTTGGTAAAAAAAAAGATCGTTCTTTTAGTTTTAATAAATGGAATAGTTTTATTTAATAATCATCAAAATTTTACATACTTTTTGATGAGTAACATAAAATCAAGAATAAATCAATAGTTGACTATGTTGTAATGAATGCATGCCATCAAGAATTCTAAAATGAACATATCACTATTTATAAAAAAAAAAGAAAATAATGCTTTGTGGAATTTGAACCTGTTATACAAAACAACTTATTTTTTAAAGATCCTCTGCATATATTTTATATGAAAGAATCAAGTTTCGACTTTTTTTTTTTTTTTTACATTAAAAGTGCTATTCTTTTGACTAACACAAGAAGAAGTATAAAAGACTCACTGATTATAATGATGCCGACTGATGCAGAAAACCGGTTTTATTTTTTATTTTAAATTAATGACTTAATTCCACAAAATTTTCGTGTAGATTGATCGATTAATATTAACATGTCTACATTTACAAATGTTTTTTTTATATTTATGATTATTTTTTTTCGACAAATGATATAGTCCCAACGCATAGACTATGTATAAATTTTTGCAAATATTCATCTTATTGAAACTACAAAATTTAACTGTATATGAGATTTTTTGCAGTTTTCATGTTTTAATATTCAAAACTGATCACTTTGTAGTGATATTATATAGAAAATTTAAAGTGCTATGGCCAATTTTATACTTTGTTAGGTTGTAAAAAAAATGTCTTAGAACACTTTTTTTGTTGTTGTTTTTCATGACAAAAGATATTCTTTCACTGAACGAATAATAGATCATAGTTAATTATGATGTTATTTCATTTATTATCATCTCGTGTGTCTTTTGCATAGAATTCAGGTGTTTCTAATACAACGAATTACTTTCTTGTCATAGACATGTCTTGTTTCAATTATAATATTTAAATAAAAAACAGTTGAGTTTCAGGAAAGTTATCTATATATTATTATTAGATTAACAGATCAATCGTAGTAAATATAGTTGAAAAAGGGATGTAAATTACACGTTAATGATTATAAAATGAATTCTTCTCGCACAATAAAGCTATTATTATTATTATTACTACTATATTTTTTCAAATATAATTGTATCAAATTGTTTTCTTTTTATTCTTTTTTTTTTTTAAAAATAAAAACGTCATATACAATAGAAATATATACACATACACAGACATCTAACAATGAGAGTTCATTGTTATTTTTGTTTTGTTTTATTTATTGCACTGAATGTGTGTGTGTATGTGCGGGGTGAGGGAGAAGAAGAAATATGATAATGATTTTTATTCACATTCATTCATATGTATTATATTTTTATATTCATATTTTGCTATAGCGATTATATAAATGTTATTGTTTAAAAGACCTAAAACGAAATTTTTACTAGTGAATATGTTTATTACCTTCAGTTTGTATGTTTCTCTTTGTGTTGTTTGTTAGCGTTGTCGACAAGAAGAAGAAAAAACGGAAAATAATATAATAGCGATGAAATGAATTCAATACCCACACATATTTATTAAAAATAGAAGCAAAAAAAGAAAAGAAAATATTTTTTTCCTGTCTTTTTTCGCGTATGGTTTATTGTTTCACGATCGCGTTTTACTTCTTTTTTATTTTTTTTTTGGTTTACGAGTGGCACACGTGAAATGTACAGGTGCCGCGTTAAAAGTAATAATAATAAAAATAATAATAATTTTAAATAGTTATCTGTTTCTATTGTGTAAAGTTGTTAGACAAAAAAAGAACAATAGATTTGTTGTTGTTGTTGTTGTTGTTCATTATATGTGAGCATAAGTATATATATTCCAGTGAAGAATGTAAGCGAAGCCCCCTACTATACAAATATCAACATCGAGGTAAAGGTAAGCGTAAGCGTCGTTTTTTTTCACTCACTCTCTATGAGGTCTTCTATGAAGAGAATATTTTTGATCAAGGGAGAAGGAGAGAGAAGAGAGAAGAGAGAGAGAGAGAGAAAGAGAGAGAGAGAAAGAAGAATCGTCCGATATATATATTTTCTTTTTTTTCTTCTCTCGCTAAATGGGACACATTTAACAACAGCATTAGTATTGATGATGATGATGATGATGATGCATCAGTTTAGCTATAGTATGTATATGTATATTCCAATATAGTCCTAAGAAAAAGAACCATAAAGAAAATCATCGTCTCTCATATTGGTTAATCTAAAATTTTAGATCTATATGTTGGGCATTCTTAATGGAAGGGCAGACAGAAGAAAGAAGAAGAAGAAGAAAAAAAAATCTTTTTTTTTTTATTGAAACCAATAAGGCCTTAGGATAGAAGAAAAAAGAGAGAAGAAAAAATAACGAATGAAATGTGAATGCGAGAATTTCAGCATACGTACACATCGTGTCTAAAAATCGATGTATAAGAAAAGAGAGCAAGAGAGAGAGAGAGAGAAGAATTTTTTTTTATGACGAAGGGTGAAATCATCAAAATTGTTTATTATTATTATTGAAACAGAAATTCTTCATGAATTATTTGTATGTGTGTGTGTGTATCCTTAGAAAAAGCATGTTTAAATTTTTTTCAAAACGGTCATGATCAGCAGTATAATTTGATGTCATTAGGATAGAAAAAGAAAATTTATTTCAAAAAATAAAGCGATCATTAGTACACACCACCTATAAACTTAAATCATATGGAGTTTTTTCTTTTCTTTCTGTTATGGTTTTTTTTTCTTCTTCTGTTTTTAGCTGCATTTTTATTGCTTCAGCTCGTTGACTTGATAAATAAATAGAACCAATCATTGTGAAGTAGTAATAGTAGTAGAAGTAGTAGTTTTTGATGATGAAAAAATAACATTTGACCGAGTGGAAGAAAAAGTAAATAAGTTGTGAAATTGCATATCACCGTCAGTATATTCATACAGTAAAGCAAATAAAATATGTAAAATGTCAGTAGTTACAAAGAGAGAGAGACAGAGAGAGAGAGAGGAAGAGAGAAAGAGAAGCATGGTATTATTACTCATATAGATCTTGAAATAAAATAGACCTTTTATTCATGAAATCGTGTAAATGAAAACACTAAAGTTAGCCGATGGACCATTTGTTTCGATTCAAATCGTATGGCTAATGCCGTAAACGATTAAAGCGTTAAAAAAAATATTTTTTGTAATTTTGACTTAACGAAATCGATTCGTGTCGCATCATGATATTTTTATAATTTTGTTTGCTACATAGAGTATACAGGAATCATCATATTATTTGATGTTAGAGTGATTCTTCTATTTGATTCATTTGTTTGGGGATTTTTGTTCTATAGCTGATAATAATTGTCCATTCTTTGTGTTTAATTTGTCTGCTAAAGAATAAAGAAATAACATTAGTTTATAAAACTTATTTTTTTGGAATTATTAGATTAACAAGATACATAAAACAATGCAAAATTTTTCCATTTAAACAGTATATTTTGATCATTTATTTTTAATCTTGAAATTTAGCGTATCATCGTAAACATGGTACGAGTATGATGGAAAATTTTTTTTTATTGGTTAACTAACAGAGTTTTGAACTACAAACATATGACATTACAATCTCAGCATGATAAAAAAATACAGATTTTGAATAGTTCAATCACTTCTGGTATGTGAAAATGCTTGTATAAAAAGGAGCCATAAATCCTATTATTGACGGCTTATCAATATATAAAAAATAATCGAATTAGACATATATTATGAAATATTTTGATCGTATTAGTTAGTGTTGTTCAATAATTTTCAATTTTTTTCTAAGGCAAAACAATTAATTTAATCTTTGTGTATACTATAGTATAAATAGAGCAATACAGAACAAAGAACAAGAGATTTTGATCCTTTATTCTTATTCTCATCATGATAGGTATTACTATATTCACTATGATCAACGTATATACACACCCTTAGGTTGTCGTTTAAAACAGAGACAAATATTTTACAGACTAATCCAAGTTTTGTTAAAGAAAGGAAAAAAGAAAGAAAGAAGAATTAGATGTATTTGATGCTAGTCGCGTCGAGTACTCTTAACTTATTCCCTTATTCTAATTGAAAAATATATATATAGTACATATACAACATGTCAAACGTGGTCACCAATAAAGTTCTATTAATCATACATAAAACTAGTATGTATGTATGTATGTATATATATTTGAAAACAAAGTTAAGTTCAAAGAAGTGTTATATCAGTTGAGACATGTTTTCTAAGAAACGATAACGTTTCAAATTTGTACACTATCTATACGAATAGTAAAATATTCTATATATCTTATAAATTACCATTTCTTTTGATTTTATCCGCTCATTTTGCAGAATATTGATTGTTAAAGAAATAATTTGAATTTGAGTTGTTTGTCAATTTAATTTTAACCAAACGATTTAATTTCAAGGCGGATTTGTTCATCTTTACAAATATCTCACGTTAAAACAAATTGATCACATTGTTTGTATCAAAGTGAAAAGCCTTTTCTTTGATATTATAAATTTATCTCTTTTTTTTTTTTTCTTTTATTTTTCTACTGAGTTACACGCTAAATTGTGTAGAGATCATGTCAAAAACATACAGATATTTTAATTAAAAAGAATTTCTTCACATATTTAATAGGAAAAATTTTATTATATTTTACGAATACTAGTGTATAGACCACATTCAAATTTTTCAAGTACTACTCAAGAAAAATGTAGATAATACTCATAGTTCATATCATAGGATCAAGAATCGAAATGGTGTCATATTTCGAAATACTTCAGTGCTATATTCTCCTCCTCATAATGGTGTCATAAGCTGTAAAAGTATCAAACTTAATTACGTCACCTTTTCACTCTTAAAATTTTGCA